ATAAACTTTGAAACTTATTAAATAAATTCCAGTCACATAGTAATGAGTTACAACCTTCGCTTCCGGCAAATGATAGTTTAAAGTGTTTTAATAAAAAAGAAAATACAATAAATAATAACACAATTGTTTCAATATTTTTTTATGCAAAGTAATTATTTATTTATTATACTTAAATGGTTTAAATTTACAAGAACTTAATAATTTATAATATCTCAAAATAAATAATTTAAAGTTACAATCACATGAAGTATAACTAATTCTAAATAGGATCAAATAGGTAATTATGTTAAAACAGATACGTATGTATTGTATTTACCGTAGCATTTTTACAAAATTAAATAGTTTAATAATAAATTACAGTTTACGTTCAAAGAATGATTGTAATTATTTTAATGTAGATTGGAAGATTAACAATTAAAACAAATATTATAATTTTTTGTTTTTGTTCTGTTGTTACCAAACTAATCATAAATAAACAAGATAATTGTATCAAACGTTGATTTTTACAATTGCTTTTGTTATACATAAAATTGGAAGTTACACCTACAAGTTATGATTGTGCTAGCCGTTCCGAAACCCTTTTGTGAGAAAAAGGTTCAATATCCTAATCATTCAGTCAAACCTTCATTGGTTAAATCCTACTTGTTTTACAACTCTTAATTACAAATTTACAACCAGTAATAGTCTTGTATTATGTATTTGTAACTAAGCTTTGTAAGTATGATAAATTTTGCATAGAACCGATTATTTATTATATTCAAATCGTTGTAACGTGTTAGAGATCACATGCCCTTTAATATCATTTGTATTTCCTCTAACGTTTTACCTTTGGTTTCGGGTATGCAAAATTGTGAGAACAACGCTGCAAATATACACAATCCTGCGAAAATGAAGAACGGAACGTGTATTCCGTACAAAGAACTGAGATGGATGTACACATAAACTGATAGAATTGCACACATACCATACGATATATCAACAATGCTCATTGCCATTCCTTTAACGCTAGTGGGAAACAATTCTCCTAAAAATACAATTGGAACCATTCCAAGACCAAATTTGAAAAACAATGAATACATGGTTACGGACACAACAGGGATCCAACTAAGATTAGAAATATCATAATCAGAATTTTTAATATAAAAATAAGTCGCCAGTACAGTAAGAGCTAATCCTGTCAAAATACTGGAGCTAACAAGAAGCTTTTTTCTACCAAATTTGTCTATAATAAATGAAGATGCTATGCAAGCAATAAGCATGGTCGCAGCTATGATGATTGGACCGGTCTCTGCAGAAATAACTGACTCAGCATCCGCTAAAATTGTGTGAACATTCATTAATAAAACGCTTATACCACTGAAATGCTGTGCAAAATTGAGTGTGATCGCTATAATAAATGCTTTAAGGTTACTCCTGACAATAAATATGTCAATGATCCTCCCTTTTTCCGATTCTTGTCTTTCAACGGCGCTCGTAATGTCTTTAAGTTCGTCATAAACATCTTCCCTTCTTCGGAAGGTTTGAAGAGATTTTAAAGCAGCTTCCTGATTTCCTTTGATGATATGATAATATGGTGATTCAGGCATAAAACTGAAGGTGATTATTTGAAGCGTAACACACGCTGCTCCTACACTCGAAGAAACTGCTATTGACGTAAATGGTGCGACGCTGTAAATCACCAGCACACCAAGAATCATGCTGGTGTAAACAAAAGTTCCCAAAAATCCTCGAATACTTTCATCTGCTACTTCTGCGATGTACATTGGCAGGGAAACAAAAGCTATATTACCAGCAGCACCGGCAAGGAACCGTGCACAATAAAGAACTTCTATTCTGGTTGCTGTTGCTATTAATATCCATGCTATTACGTGTTTTATGGCGGCCAATATTACAATTATTTTTCTACCCAAGAACTTCATATAAATTATTGTAAATAGAAGACCTGCGATATTTCCTATCATGTAGATATTTTCTATCCATTCTTCGTCGTGCTTTTCTATCTTAATGGGACTGTCGTCTAAATGTAGCTTCGGAATATTAGGCGCTGTCCAGCCATACTGCATGCCATCGCTTATGGTACCGATTGTTCCTGAAAAAGTTTAACTATTATAAATGCACTTATATTTGTAAAGAAATAGTCAGTTATTCTTAAAGATCACGGAGTATAACAACATTGATTATCACTTAATTGCACATTTTCATTGCATGTATTGAAGGAGTTTTTAGGAAAAAAATTTCAATTGGTTTTTTACAGTGTACTACGGTTTTATTATACAATTCGAATAAGTGTAGTGGACTCAAAGGGTTTTTTTTTGCGAATACTTCTAATTGTTCTTAAATATATTACTGAACTGAAAGCAATGTCTCAATCAAAAATGATAAAACATTGCAAAATTTAAACGAAAGGTTTGTTTCCTTAGGTAATAGAATTACAATTAGAGTTGAACTTGGTGCATCCATTAGGTAGACCAAGATCAAGTCAAATACGTATGAATTTCGTTTGTAATTATTTGAGAGTATCAAAAATGCACATTAATCTATGCCAATAAGTGGGAAACATGGACTCTAAAAAAAGAAGCACTTAAACGAAAGTTTTGTTTTCTTAGGTAATAAAATTAAAAGTGCAATAGACGTGATATAACGAGTACAAACTAAAATGTCAAGACTTCAGCAATGGCTGCACTGCCAGGCAGTAAATGTATCGCGTCGGCTTGGAATTGAACTTGGTCTATCCATTAGGTAGTAGGTAGACCAAGAACAAATCCAAATACATGTAAATTTGGTTTGGTGTTTGTAATTATTGAAGAGTATCAAAAATGCAGATTAATCTATGCGTATAAGTGGGAAACATGGAGTACTTTTAATTTTAAGTTTTCTCAATTAAAACGTAAAGGCAGATGCTAATGAGCATAGAGATTTCGACAATCTATTTAACCGATTGTTATGTATTATTTTGATCAAGATAAGGCTCCAGTTCGAAAACTTAAAGCACAACGATGCACTATAGTCCCGAAACTTTAACTTAACCCGGTATAACGTAAAATTTAAAACCCCAAGCTTCTGACGTCACATAATCTAAAAGGATTTACTTAATGCAAACTTATGAGGCGTTTTTATTTAATGATGCATAGATATCCATTACTTTGTCCAAATCGAGAGTTGCGATGCGATTTTTTCCCCGATAAACATGAGTTATAAATTATTTATCTAAGAAAATTTCACTTTTTAGCTGAGGGTAGTGATGAGGAAATGAACATACAGTTTGCGATAATCTTTATTCGAACTATTTAAACGCGTCATAGTTCTAGAGTATTACTGTATCGTGATTATTGCGGAACTCAAGATAACATGCGATATATATCTTTACAGAAATAAAAGTGTCTTGGGTTATAGATAAAGCATAAAATCTACAACAGTGTAGTTCACCTATGACCTGTGCAAGAGAAAATACTTTAGCTATGTCCTTGACCGAATGACAACTGCACAGCTTATTTTTATTCTTAACTCTTATGCATGTTCATATTTATTTAGGGTAAGATTCACGCATGATTTGGTCACATGATGAATTACAAATCGTAACTCTTCATTTTTAAAAAAAATTCGTTATAATCGCTTTAATCCAAGCGACACATGAAAAGATGTTGAAGTTTCCGCCACAGGGTTTGATTGAAATGAAAATTACAACCCTTTACTTTAAGGCCTGAAAATTCATCATCGATGGTATTTATCGCTACTGCTTCTAAGTCAATACGAAACTACATTGGACAGAGACTTTTTTGAATAAAATAATGTAGCATCGTGCTACAGATGGCGTTTACTGCGCCATTTGTAGTATTTTCTAAAGAGACTTTTTTGTTTGAACAACCTGAACAACCTCTTGTCAGTTGCCGTCTCTTTGACGGGGAGCACCGAACAAATTGAGGGGATGACACAAATTATTTCTTCTGCACTATAATCAATATCAATATGTATAGTATACATCTATTTAAAGGAAACAGTTTTTAAAAGTCCCCGAGGTAAGTGTTCTTACTGTCCAGCAAAAATTCCTGGAGTTATTATTCTGTCCTTACGACATACTATTTCATTGATGCAGAAATAGAAATTTCGTCGCGACTATTTGGTAACACTTCAATACATAAAATATTATATTTAGTTTGGATCACTAAACAATTTATTTACCTACCATCCGCAATGGATTATAATGCAATTTACCAAATGCATGAAACGATATGCAAATATTTATCTGCTATGCACTATGCCCGAAACGTCACTATTTCAGTTAAAATTTCTGACACTCGAAACGCGACTCCCGGAAACAGAATATTCAGAAAAAGATCTGTTAAAGTTTTAAATTTTGTGACTATTTTTCTGACCTAATGGAATAAAAAATTATTTTCCTTGTTATAGACTTCTTGGTGCGAAATGAGTAATATTAATTGATTGGAATACAAATTAATGGAATGTATATGTTAGCGGAATTACGTAGTAATACGTAAGTTATATCAATTAAGAAATTCAAACTCAGCATACGCATAGTTAAAAAAGGGTTGTGCAAATCGATTTTCGTGGCATGTGCATTGTTTGATGCGTAATTGAAATAACAGAATGAGTGTGATACCTATCACTTCAACAAACTGTTGTTTATTGCTTTAAATTTACAAACGAAACATTAAAAATGAAAAGATAACTGTCTAATTTGGTGTGTTGACCTCTTGATCAACACAAACGGATAACTAAAAAAATCTAAGCAGGTATTTGATGAATAACGAAGGAATGAAATTTTTGAAATGTATTAAATAATTTTACCTGTTATTACTGCTATTAGTTGAGGCCATTTAGAAATAAAACTTCTGCTGGTATTGTCGTCGATCATTTTCGTGTAATTATAAGTAACTGATGCGTATGCCTTACACAATAATTTATTTCAATTAACAATTTAATAATAATTTCTATACTGCTTCATACGTAGCCATCACTCGTCTGTGCTAAATTGAGTTTGGAGTGTTTCCAACGTTTTACTTAATCGAAAATATCGTATGTAACTGTTTGAAACTCTTTAGATAAAATTTTATTTTTATCAATTTTTTTTTCAGAAATGTTAAATTCGTGAACTCTTGGAGATTAAAATCCATTTCAAATTTAATTTGGATTTCAATTTAACAAGTGCACATGTTGCTGGAGATAAGATATGAGATTAGAAGAAAGAACATAAATCAATTAAATTTTTCACTATTTTTATTGACTTGTCGTTTCTCTTTAAATATAAAATAGTTATGCTACAGATATCAATTTGTTTATAGTCATCCCCTAAATTCAGCATTCATGAAAATGTTCAGTGAGTTATAGGTACATTACATTCTTGGTACGTGTTAAATTTAATTAGGGTTGTTATTTAGAGGCAGACTCAATATTCTGTAGAAAAATTTAAAGAAAAATAGGAAGAGAACATAAAAAAAATCGAAAGTGTGTTGGACAAATTCTGGTTCATGATCTCGAACATAATAATGTCAAATAAGATTTTTTTTGAATTTTTAGTCGATCAACAGGCACAATAAGCAGAAGATGTTAGTTCTAGATTGGTTAGAAACAAAAAAGGTTGAAATTATATACCTACCTATATTATTTAAAAGTAAAACCGTACCTGAACGTTGCAACACATAAATCTCCGGTGATATTTAGTCTTCATTTTCAAAAATAAAAAGAATTCGCCTGCAATAAAAGTAATAATTTATTATATCATTATAAAACTTACCATGGTTACGACTTGCAGTTATAGACAGAAGCTGTAAAAGAATCAGTCTCCATTTCATTCACCGCTGAGAATGGATTTTGGAAATGCCTATTTATACGTACGTATGAATAGTAGTCTAAATTTAGGCGCAAATTTACCCATAAATGTAGAATATTTGATCAGCATACTAATAGTGGAACCGATTCTGGTAAATCAAACTTAAGACTTAATCTTCAATCTTCCTTTTCTTTATGGGAAACCACCACTGCCGTTAAACACATTTTTTAGATATTATAGAAGGAATATAAAACAATTACTCCAATATTATTTATTCAAAATAATAATTTGTTTAACATATTTAATGGCTAAAATTTACATGAATTTAATAATTTATAATCTCTNTAATAAATAAGCAATTTCTTTTTTTTTTCTGGAAATTCCAGCAAAATTCAACTGCTGAAAGATCGTTTTTATATGATGACAAACGCAGGCACTTCATATCTTCATATTTAACGGTAAAAACGGCACATCTTTCATGGTCAAAACAGTTAAAAGTGGAACCCTTATCGCTTCATTTTATGATAGGGACGAAGGCCAGTATATTTACGTTACTCAAAAATTTCGCTTTAATAGCCAGGTTTGTTAATAGCCTACGGGCATACGTCTACTAAAACGAGCGAGATTTGACAAAGAGGATGGAGAGAGTGATTCACAATGTTTTGAAAAAAATTAGTCCCACTGATATGGAGGGGAGGGGTATATAGGATCCGCCATTGGTTTTATAGTTAACTCTGATTGTGAATCAGAAAAAGCAAGCGTGTAGACAGAAGATATAAGATTATGCGAATCGCGGGCAAATATAGTACAAAGTGCAAACTTATCCATTTTAAATTGGTTACGTGTCTGACATATCACAAGTTGAGCTAATATTCTATTACCTACATTTGTGTATCTTTAGCTGATACAAACCCAATATGGCTGCTCTGCTAATGCCGGGCACAAATACATCACTTCAATTTTTCAAATATTTAGCCCTTCATGGTAATCTTTATTCATACCACTATCGTGCGCCAAGGTATAGACACAGACTAATTAAGTACATCTAATAATTATTACATACTTCATCTGTATGTGACGTTTATTCACATGTAATCAATAGTAACTACTACTTATATTCAATGGCGAAAAATTCTACAATGTTCATGTGAAACCAACAATAATATAAACCACGCCTTTTCTTTAAAAAAAAGTGGATTATCTTTAGATGCGCTTTTGTCATATTTATTTTCACTTTCCTTCTTTGTTCTGACCGAACTCAAAAAATACATAATAGATAAANTTTTTTTATATAATTACGTTATTGTTGTTAATTATAAACTAACAAGATTATTCTAGCAAACGTTTAATAATAATTATTCAGCGTTCAGTCGAACTTCAATTGGTTAAATATTACTTGATTTATAACCCCTATCTGATTATAAATCTATAACCGGTGAAAGTCTCGCATTTGGTTTTAATTTAAACAATTAAAGTTTGCATACAACGTAGAGTGATAGTTTAGGATATTATGCAAAGAAATGAAAGATTTACTAATATTTTTATAGAAGATGGTTAATAGTGTTAGCCGCTTTACAAGAAGTTTAAAACATTCATGGAAAACATTAACACAAAACTCTAATCTAACTTACGATTATTTACTTTAATGTTAACTTAAGTTTATTGAATTTATTTGCAAACCTTATCTGATTTTTCAAAATGTTGACAAATGCAGAAGGTTACAGCAATTCACATGGCACTATTGGCACGAACTACATACATTAAAGGCTTCCCTAGACAAAAATTTTCAGTCTCTCAGAGTCTTTCAGCGTCTCTGAGAGCGTCTCTCACAGTCCTTTACAGTCTCTCAGGTATTGCCTAGGTGTTTTTATGGATCTCTCACAGTCTCTGTATGAGAGACTCTTCGATAAAATTGTTAATTCAGAGATTCGAGTCTCCCACAGAGAGACTGAATGGATAAAACTTAAAAATTGAGAGACTCGAGTCTCTCGTAGAACGACTGGGATCGCTGAAATATGTTGAACTTTTAACCATGTCTATAGAGACACCACTTATTGAGAGATTCGAGTCTTTTGTTTAGAGATTCCAATCTCTCGTTCAGTGACTGGATACGAAATGAGGACCTCTCTATGAGCGACTCGAGTGTCTCTGGTTCAGAGACGCTATGCCGTTTTTGTGACACTCTCTCGACAGTCTCTCTCAACAACACTAGAGAGACTCGATGAGAGACGGAGACTCGAGTCTCGCTTTCAGAGACTCTGAGAGACTGAACATTATTATCTCGGGTTCGTAACTATTTTTTTTTTTGCAATAATTATTTTTTAAAATCTACACCAACTGCAATACTCATTAAAAAGAGTCTTAATATATCGGTTATAGTAAGAAATGTGTAAGCAGGAACTTCAGTAGTACACTTCTTCTTTCTTCAGGAATTCTGATCAAATTATCAAATGGCTATCGCTAACCGATTATTTCCTATGTACAAATATTTATAATGTATTAGACATCACATGCCCTTTAACATCATTTGTATTTCTTCTAACGTTTTACCTTTGGTTTCGGGTATGAAAAATTGTGAAAACAACGCTGCAAATATGCACAATCCTGCGAAAATGAAGAACGGAACGTGCATTCCGTACAAAGAACTCAGATGAATGTACAAATAAACAGATGCAATTGCAAACACACCGTAAGATATGTCAACCATGCTCATTGCCATTGCTTTGACGCTAGTAGGAAATAACTCTCCCAAAAATATAATGGGAACCATTCCAAGACCAAATTTGAAAAACAACGAATACAATGTAACGGATACGACAGGGATCCAATTAAGGTGAGAAATATCATCATCAGAGTTTTTAATGTAAAAATAGGTGGCCAATACAGTAAGAGATAATCCTGTCAGAATACTGGAACTAACGAGAAGAATTTTTCTTCCAAATTTATCTATAATAAAGGATGATGCTATACAAGCAATAAGCATAGTCGCAGCTATGATGATTGGAGCGGTCTCTGGAGAAACAATTGATTCAGCATCCGCTAAAATTGTGTGAAGATTCATTAACAAAACGCTTATACCACTGAAATGCTGTGCAAGATTGAGGGTGATTGCTATAATAAATGCTTTGAGATTACTCCTGACAATAAATATGTCAATGATCCTTCCTTTTTCCGATTCCTGTCTTTGAACAGCGCTCGTAATGTCCTTAAGTTCCTCATAAACATCTTCCTTTCTTCGGAAGGTTTGAAGAGATTTTAAAGCGGCTTCCTGATTTCCTTTGATGATATGATAATATGGCGATTCAGGCATAAAACTGAAGGTTAACACTTGAAGCGTTACACACGCTGCTCCTACGCTAGAAGAAATTGCTATTGTAGTGAAGGGCGCGATGCTATATATCACTAGGACACCGAGAATCATGTTACTGTAAATAAATGTTCCTAGGAATCCTCGAATACTTTCATCGGCTATTTCTGCAACGTACATTGGCAGTGAAACAAAAGCTATATTACCAGCTGCACCAGCAAGGAATCGTGCAAAATAAAGAACTTCTATTCTGGTTGCTGTTGCTATTAATATCCATGCTATTACGTGTTTTATGGCGGCCAATATTACAATTATTTTTCTACCCAAGAACTTCATATAAATTATTGTAAATAGAAGACCTGCGATATTTCCTATCATGTAGATATTTTCTATCCNGTTATGTATGTACAAAACTACCTATTAGGAAAAATACTCATTTTAGAAAAAGTACTTATTATACATCGGGTGGGTGTACATGTCTATTTAAAAAAGCACCACTTTTTTACGAAACGTTTCTTCTCATTTTCGTTTTGTTCGAGTATCATTAATGGTTACTATAGCGGGTATCCGTTCAACATTTTCGCATATCTCCCAACCCTAGTTGTGATACCTATAAGGCAGATTATTAAAATTTCCCTTTTAGAGAGCAATTTTTCCTCCTCCATTTTCTGCGTTTCCTTTGTAAATCGAGTAATTTCAGAACTCAGCATTAATGGTAAAGCAATTTAAAGTTGAGGTAGCAATACGATAATGTTCTAAATGCATAAAAAGTTAAGGAACAGTATAAGAGGCTTCTAAAGTGAAACTCGATATTTGGGAAAAATAATGAGTTTTATAAGGATTGGTGAGGGTTAAAAATTTAATACGGCATCAAAGATCCTTTTAGGGTAAGTATCTCTAACAAACTCATGTATTGTATTAAAGGAATATTGGTGATCCATGAGGAAATATATCAACCAATGCTGCAATTACTAAACGAATTTGATTTTAAAAAGAAATCTTACTGTTTGTGTGGATTCTGTATTGCTGTTGATATTTGGCATGTTTTCTTAAAAATAAGTAAAATTAAGGATATGGATCAGAAATTTGTAAGAAGTTTCTGTAATTAAAAACTCATCGAAGAAATTCCTATTGAATTTATAACCATTTACCAAGATTGCCTACCTTTGAGAATAAATTAATGAAATACAGTTTTATCTACGAAATTGTATTATATCTTTCTATTAGATATTTACTTTTTTGCTATAAAAATGTTTACTGTACAGAGGTAGGAGTAATTGCGTATTAAGTTTTCAAAGATTTTGGAATATTTAGTAATATTTTAAGAACTGTATTATTTCTTCTGTTCTTTTAAAAAAAAGTTTTAGATAGATCGTTTGCTTTTTCATTTATTAAGTTTTCAGAATTCGCATATATATATAAGGCTTTTCCTCTTTACCCTTTAATATGGTGTCTACTTATTCTCTTGAACTATGAAGATAACTTAAGTAAAGAGTTACGAAAGAATGTTAATTGTCGTTGAAGCATCTCCACTACAATGGCATTCAGCGTACTTGAAACGTAAAAACGCTAGAGGTGAAGTACCACACTGCCGTGATGTGTGATGCTTAATTGGACGACACTGACTTTTTCTCACATGTATGATACGTACACCTCGAATTTCTTCTCTAACATCATCTTCTTTTCCTTGAAATTATTGCAAACACAATCTATTTTATTGAATAGATTATATCTGTTTGTCTCTCTGTCGTCTTTATATTCTGATGCTTCTCTATCTGTCGATATTAGATAGATAGGTAGCTATATTAAAAATATTAAGAAATTAATTATTACTTTACTGCACATTTATGGCGTTTTTGATATTATTGCATTTCGTCTTTTGTCGTGTATTATCGTTTTACTATGCAGTATAGATGCGTTAAAACTTGCTTTTCGTCATATGACTAAAGATCAAAAAGTCCTTTAATTTTGAAAAAAAAATCTCATGTTTGTCTCAACCCTTCTCAGTATTCGAATTTTTAAATGCGCACGCTGTACAAAGAACACTATTAGTATCCCTGGTATCCAATGTATAATTGTAAACTCAACCACTGATAACTTCAAGTTCTTAAACAAAAATTTCATGCAATCATTTTAATTTGCTTTGTAACAATAGTTATTGAAATGCTCTTGAAAGTAATTGACATTTTCTAACTAACGTAAGGTCATTGCAAGCATTCTAATGTATCGATTTGAACTTTGATTGATTGGATGATCCACATGGAAAGATACTTAACAGATAATGAGCAGAATACAAAATTGTTAGATTCTCAAAGTAACTTACTTTTGATTATTCCTTTCTGTTTAATTTTGCTAGTTTGGCTTTTGAATAACGTTGTTGGTAAGTTGAAGTTTTCGGAAGAATATTTGTACAGAAATTTTAATCGAAAAATTGGAATATTATCTGCATTAATCGTAAAATAAATAAGTAAGGCCAATAAGAAATTGTGTCAAAAACAAATAACTTTTATAAACATATTATTTTTTTTACCCAACTGTACATGTTAAGAATAATTCTAAAAGACATTTTTAAAAGTTCTTGAAAGACGGTAGTTCTTAATTACAGTCAAATTAAGAAATTGATATTTAATGTCTCACTTTCTGTTAATGTTGATGCTAGGGTTATTTTGTTTGTAAAAAATTGTTTAAAAATTCAGGCAATTTGTGTAATAAAGACCTAGTTATAAAAATCCTTTGAATTGGAATTTTCAAAATCGAAAAATATCTCTACAAATACTGACCTAACAAAAAGTATTTCCTTAATTTAATGATAATAAGATTTAATTCTTAATAAACCCCAAAAAGAACCTTTTGTTGACCAAAATATATGAAATAGTTAAAATATTAACAATACTAATTGGATAAGGATAATAATATTGCATCCACTTCAAATATCATGCACCTACTTTAGGGTACTTCAAACAAAATTTTTAATTTTCTTTTCTAACTGTTACCCCCTCAAATGTTTCCATTTGATGTAAAAAAAATCCTCGCCAAACATGAGCCTTATAGCTCAAATCTAAGGGGTCGCAATTTTTATTTTAGTTTCCCATTTAATTAACATACGAAAAATTCTTTTTTGTTTTAAATTGAATTTACACATAATTTACGCAATTTTTTCCAAAAAACCGTTTCATATTCTCAAAGTTGAGTCTATATAAACTAATACGGAACAAAATTATAATCCATGATTACTTGTAATCATACGATTAAGTCATTTATCTTATTATCATGTGTGCTGCCACCTACACTACGTACTGAAAACCACTTTTGAAATTTGTAATATATAAAAATACAATACTAACTAATAGTTTGATTAAAAATTTTGAGGATTATGCAAAAAAAAGAATTGCAAGCTATTTTTTCAAATTTCAAAATTTAGTAATTTTTAAATGGCTGTAACTA